GTGGGACACTGTGAGCCAAGGGAAGAGTGTGGGTGGACCACCTCAAGCAGGAGTTAGGGTGAAACAGGACTCACTACTGGGGAAACTAAGGCTTGGAGAAGAGAAGTCCAATATCACACATGATAAGGCAGTCGCTATTAAGTGGGATCCCAGACCAGTGGCATCAGCATCACCTGGGAGTTTGTTAGAAATGCAGATTCTCAGGCCCATCCCAGAACTACCGAATCAGAGACTCAAGGTCAAGGAGTGTGCAGCCCAAGCAGTACATCTAACAAGCTGTTCAGGGGATTCTGATGCACCCTCAAATTTGAGAACCACCAAGCTAGGTTCTCCTGCTTCTCCACGGCCTGTCCCTGTCCCCTGAAGGATCACTGTCTGTAGTGGGTTGAATAGTGGCCCCCCCAAAAGATATACCCACATCCTAATCCCTGGAACCTGTGAATGCTACTTTATTTGGAAAAAGGGTCTTTGCAGATATAATTAAGTTAGGGACTTGGAGATGAGACCATCCTGGATTATCTGGGTGGACCCTAAATTCAACGACAAGTGTCTTTGTAAGAGTGAGGCAGAGGGAAATTTGAGAGAGGAGGCAATGTGACCACAGAGGCAGAGATTGGAGTGATGTGACCACCAGCCAAGGAATGCTGGCAGCCAGAAGAACCTGGGAGAGGTGAGGAACGGATTTCCCCTAGAGCCTCCAAAGGCACTGCAGCCCCACCACAGTCGATTTCTTTTCTTTTTTTTTTTTTTTCCTTTTCTTTGTCTTTTTTCGTGACCGGCAACGGGATCGCAACCCTCGGTGTCGCGCCCGCACCGCGCTCAGCCAGTGAGCAGACCGGTCTCTATATGGGATCCGAACCCTCAGTGGGAGCGCCACCGCACTCCCAAGTGCCGCACTCTACCGAGTGCGCCACTGGGCCGGCCCCCACAGTCGATTTCAAACTTGGCCTCCAGAACTGTGAGAGATACACTTGTTGTTTTAAACCACCTAGTTTGTGCCAATTTATTACAGCAGTTCTAGGAGTTCTAGCAGTTCTAGTTTTTGCCCCTGTCTAATGAGGAAGATAGACCCTGGCCCGACTTCCCACCTATGGTGAAAGACTGAATCCACCCAGGAGTCCCTGTCACAGAGCCATCACCGGCTCCATCCTGTTTTCTTTCTAAGAGTTCTGCATCTTCTTATGGAATTTGGAGCTACTAAGAGGTAAAGAGAGAGGGAGGGACAGTGTCAAGTTGACTTGGGAACAACTCACCAAGTGACTTAGAAACTAAGCTGAAAACTAGAATCTGGTTCAAGGCCTCTGGGGAGCCAGGAAGGGTTTTGAGGAGAGGGGTCATGGTCAGAAGGTGGTGAGAAGGCTCATCCTGGGAGTCAGATCCTAGCCAGAGGAGCTTGGACCCTAAACTGAGCCACCCTACCCGGGGACACATCTGGCTAAGAGCACAGATTCTGGGGCCGGACTGCCAGGGTTCAAATCCCGGATCGGCTACTTTCAGGCTGTATGATCTTGGGGAAATTACTTCACCTCTCTGTGCCTCTGTATCGACATCTGTAAAGTGGGCTTAACGACAATCCCTGCCTTCGAGGGTGTATTTGATTAATACACAAAGAGCGC